CCCCCCCCCCCGACCCTTGCACTTACACCTCCTTTTGCAGGTAAAACACGAGAGAACTGTGGTGGCCTTGGCAAGTTTACAAGAAATTGAGGTTTACAAGGAATTGAGCGGGAAAGATGATCTGCATCTCCAGAGAAATGCGCTCCACCTCTTCCTGTCAGGCACAGAACCCAGTATTATAATACAGTCAGCAATATCCTCCCAAAAAAATAGGCTTCTCCCCAGGGGCCAAGCAACAGAATGGAGAGGCACCATTTTGGGCAGAGTACCAGAGCCTTACGTCACCCATGGGACTGAGAGTCTGGGTGGTGGAAATGTGCCACCTTGCCCTTGTTTTTCAGGCTGCTCCCTCTTCAGCCCTAAACACCTCCATCCTGTCTAAAACAGCGTGTAGTTGCTTATGGAAAGCACTGTGAGCTGTTCCTCCTGCAGCCTCTGAGAAACCTTACCCATGACACTTAAGAGCTCAATGAGGATCTACCCTGTCTTGTTGCTCTTTCAACTGAGCAAGTGAAGTAAGGGACAGCTGTTTTCAGCTCTCTTATATTATCTGATGGTTCCCTAAAGCAAAGGGTTTCCTTGCCATATAAGACATTCCTGCAAGCCCTGAGTACCCAGACAGATGGCTGCTGGGGTCAGGAAACAACTCACAATGGTGAAACTGGATAAGCCTGAAGGACAACGCATGCATTAGGTGGCATGTCATGTACTGCGCTTAGATCTGCACTGTGTCCGGCCAGGCTTTCTGCTGTGATGTGACTGTCTTCATTACTCAGCTTGACACACAACTTCACCCTGTATCCTACAGTCCCGGTGAAGAGACATGGTGAATTTTGTGCAGCCCCTGAAACTTCCTTTATGCAAATCTCCCCAACCCATTTCCAGTGGAGGTGGCACCAATACATGCTATGGACACTTGTTTCCATAGATCGCTGCTGTGTCCTTTTCCATGCAGTATTATCATATCAGATTTCTCTTTCTAGTATGTACAGGGAGTGCTTTGAAACCACCATAGCCAGCTGTCTGCCCCTTTGACACAATCTGCTTACTTCTTTGTGTTTTGTGTCTCTTTTTGTTTTTAATGAGATGGAAAAATGCCGTAAGAAACAAAAATTTGTATGCAAATGAATAGATGACTGCCAACCCACCTCTGTGCTTGACATCCTAGTTGATCAGATGCCTGATCGACACCTTCAATTGATCTTTGTAGTAGGCTATCAGTTCATTAGTACACGCCAGCCATTGTCAGCAGTACAACTGCAGCTTGATCACATCTATATAAGTATCTGGCCTCCAACACCCTTGGCCAGTCCCTAGATGTTTCTCTGAACCAACTCTCTGGGGTTGAACACTTTCAGCACTACTTGTTCAGGAGGCGGTTGTTCTCTTAACAAGTTCCTGATCTGCTTGGGTTAATAGATTGTGAGTGATTTGTCCACCTGCAGCAGAAAAGTGTGCAGCAGTTGACTCTGGTGTGCGGTAGTGGTGGGGACGTGGGGAGAAATTAGTGCCATATCTTCTGTTCTTTGGTTTTTATCTCTGTAGGCTTCGTTTTCTCACTCTGTTAAGGCACTGGGTGAATGGTTTTCCCACCTGTCTTATCCCAACAAGAAGCTAACAGAAGAGCTTAACACCTGGGACTTCCCCTGCCTTGACAAGCCCAAGATGCATTGTTCCTACCTGTCCCTGGAGCGTGTGGCTTTTCCTTCTAAAGTCTTCCTTTCCTTTTACTGTGACCTGCCTCTGTTCACACATGGATTTTACAAGTTGTGCCTTTTGCAACAGAACGAAGCAGTTTCCTCACTAAAAAGATTCTTTAAACTTAGCTTTCAGTCTATGCCTCACCCAACTTGGCAAAGTTTTCCTTGCCGGCTAGGGCGTGGCTTCCTAAAAGTCTTTGTGCTTAAAGCCAAAAACAAGACCTGTCCTAGTAAAAGAGTGGGCGAGTTGCTGTTGGTTGGAACACTTTGCATTAGTCTGATGTAAATGATGTTGAGATGAATCTATGAATAATAACAGAGAAGAGTGTACGCCAAGATGGACTGTGTCTGGTAGACCTTCTGGAGGGATACATCAGTAGAAGTTCAGTGGACCTGCTGGTAAAATAATGAAGAGTTTGGTGTCCCGATCTAGCCCGTGTTGTATAAGAAGGAGGCTCTGCTGGAAATACTGGCTGTGAGTTCTTACTTGCCTTTGATTGTAATAGCAAACTGATCCAATCTGAGGTTTTGCACTTACCTGCCTACACTGCTATATTTGTGCATCTCGGGGAACAAGGGGCTATGTTTATATTGTAAGATTTAGGACTTTAAGAGAGGAATTCCACTTTTTTTTTACATTTCTGTATATGAGTTTGAGTACCAACAATTCCTCTTTGCATGTACAATCAAAAAATTCCTCCAGGGAGAGTTGTGATCTCCGTCTGATTGCATGCCTCTTGGAAAAGGACTTTCTGTTATCTGAATAGTGCGTGCCAGGGAGAAGTTGCTTCCAATACAAAGTAAATAAGTAAAACTCTGTGTACAAATAAAATGGGTAAGCAAGAAGAGGTAGAAAGGAGGGGCTGATCAAAGTCAGATGTACTGGACTGCAGAGACCTGTGTCAAATGGGGACTATAAAGGAGGGAAGTCTAGTATTTTATATCTCTGAGCATGAATGTGTCTACGTTGGGTCTTAACCAACATGTGCATAAAAGATACTTTCTGCTTTCTATCTGTCCCTTCTTGCTTAGGACCAGAACTGCTCCTGGATGGGAGAAGCCATCTGTTTGCTATTCTTCTCGCATACACTGCAGAATACAAGAGACCAAATAAGACTGGGCCTAAACTTCCCTCCTGTTTGGCTTGGTCCCTCCACGGCCTCTTGGCTATTCCTGTAGGATTGTGTGTGTGTGTGTTCTCCTCCTGAGGACTCCCACACTGTAGGTGCTTTCCACACACCGCACATATGCTTGTGCATCCGCACACACACAAAGTGCCAGTGTTTTTAAACTTAAGCTTCTCTCCTCCTCTTCCACGATAGTTAAATCACATCTCTAAATCGCTGCCTGCCTTAGTCAGTTCTCTGCCTTTTTTTCCCTGAAGCTTGAATGTTTTGCACATTCATATATTCATGTCCTTTCAAAGCAGAGCTGCATTGCATAGGACTGCACAGGGCTATGCCATGTTTAATAGTGTGAGTTTTTTCTCTGACCTTGTCTTCCCTCTCTGTGCATGGTCTAACTCTACCCAAAGACTGTACTCCGTGAGAAACTCTCCATTCATGCTGGCCATGCCTTAAGAGGATAAAGTAGACGGCATGAAAACGATGATGCCCAAGGAAACATTCAGGATTTGGCAGACAGAGCTGGTTGGGCAACCCAACGTCTGAACTGAAAGTTGGTTCATGAGAGGGGGAAGAAGGAATAAGGACAGCAATTGTGGCTGCAGGGGGGGTGCTGCTGCCCTTCCCTGTGCGGACGTTGGTTTCACGGACTATTGGAGCATTCAAAAGTCAGAGGTGAGGGAAAGACCCTCCTTGCAGATAATTCCTTTTCAATTGGCCTGTTTACTTGTGTTACAGTCAGCTTGTCGTTTTGTCCTCCATTGCTCCACTCCACTGCCCCACAAATCTTCCCCGTGTGATTCTCCCCTGGATAATAGAGCCAGGAATGTTAAACATGCCGTAAGTATCCGGAGACAGATGTTTAAGACCAGCCTGATGATTGAATTAACCTCACTGGTACTAGGAACAAAAATTATTGGATGAACCGATGAGAAGATAGAAGTGTCAGTATTTAAAAAAGGAAGGTGGGGAGGGAAGGGAGAAGAGTAAACAAATGTATTTGTCCTTAAAACTACTGACGCTCTTGTCCTGAATCCATATTGAGAGATTATTCTGTGGAAACATGGCATTGAAAGGATATCACCATGCTAATGCTGAAGCCTAAACCAGGAGTCCTCTAGGTGATGGCTGGTCCCTGCAGAAAGGATGATTTGAGTGCATATGTATCACCTATTACCAACAGCAGTGGTTTTGTTTGTTTGGTTTTCAATAAATCTATTCCCATAAGTTATTTTTCTCTGTCTGATATAATCTGGCCCTTCCGTACACAAATGCTTCACACGTTTCTCCACAGACGTGCAGCTGGCCACATCTGTGCGGAGTTTTGTCGTCAGCACACCAAGTCAATAGGTTTTATTTTTATATATATTTTTAAAGGAACTCTGCCAAGCAATTTGATTTTTCTTTATTCGCTCTTCTGGCCTCAGGGGTTACAGGGTGTGTATATGTGTGTGGTAGGGGGGGCTGCCACGAGAGATGCCAAGTGAAGTCCTTAAACTGGAATGAACATGAAGGGCCGCGGCTATCGAACAATGCCACATGAGCCCAGTAGAGTTGATCTTGTCTGTAAAGGAGCAGTATGTTCTGCGTTACAAATGTTCACCTGAAAACAAGGTTAGTGTGTTCAAATGCAGGGAGTTGTTGGATTCCCTGTACTTTGTGTATATGGGAAGCGGGTCCTGCATATGTTTCTTTGTTTTAATAGTTGCAGCTAATGTTTATAAAAGAGCTTGTTATTTACATTTTAAGCACTTTAAAGAAATAAAAATTGTTCAAGCTGTTCCTAGATGCTTCTGATTTTTATTGCGGGTCTGTGTCAGATGGCACTTGGGGAGCGTGGGACTCTGAGCAGATAACTTTTAGTTGGTAAAACAGGGCTAGTTTTCATTGATTCCTTCCTTTAGGAGTGTCGTCTACTTGTTTCTGTTTTATTGAGGCTGAGGGCCCTGCTGTGGAATAAAGGTGTTTGTACGGGTAGCATTATAAAGGTGTGGGTTGCAAAAGGAAGCAGCAACAATAACACCAGGTGTATGGGGGAGAGCGCAGAGCATCGAGTGACCCGGTCAAGTTTGCTTGGTGGTTCATATAGAGCTGAACGTGAGACCAAGATGTCCTAGTTCCCTGGCCTTGTTTCCTGTTCTTGGCTCGCCTCTTTTCCCCTGCATAGGAGAGAAGCAGGCAAAGCCCCAGCCAACCCCTAATGCTTTCTCATGGCCAAAATGCTTTGGAATATGAAGGGGAACTAAAATAACTAAGAGTTGCCCAGCTGAAATCTCCTGCTGCCATCCTTCGTATGGCTTGGCTGTGTCTTCACTTAGAACCAGTTCTGGCTCTAACCTGAATGCTGCCACGCTCCACCCTGCTGACCTGCATTTCGTGCTGCTTTAGCCAGAGGAAGGTGACCTGACTGAGGTTATAGCTTAGTGCTCAGATGCTGCTTTCATTCAGGCTACCCGCTTTGCCACGAGGGCACAGTTTAAATCACTGGAGTGCCACTAGCTTTTCATTGTCTTCCTATAATTCCTCCCATATGCCCAGAAGAGCAGACGAGTCCTCCCGCAGTTCAAGGGGAAAGAGTGATGGAGCAGCTCAGCTTACGATGAGTGATGCCATCAGAGGTATGAAACACCCCGCTGTGTGTTGCCGAGACCAGCCAAGACATTAGTGCAGGTGCGCTAGTTTGTGCAGGTCAACTCAGGTGCTGATCAGCGGGGCTAACCACAAAGAAGACCCATCCTTGGAGATAAATGGTGGCTGGACGTTCAGAGCCAAGGGATAATGACAAACCTTTGTCCTTGTTTTCAAGTGTACTAACAATTTTCCTGCCTGTTATTTCAGACCATGTCCACTTCTAATGGGATGGGGTATCCATGCTTGGAGAAATCCCTCCTACAAACCACCAACCTTACCTCTATATCCTGTTAAAGTGATTTGAATCCCTGTCGTGCCCTTGCTGAAGAACAGGAGGTGGCTTTAGATCAGATTCTCCATGCTGTAGTTTGCTAACAAGCCACTTGCCACCTCGGGTCTGTTCAGAAGTGGATTAAAGCAAAATGGGAGCTGGAGCCACTTGCACCACAGAAACCTTAGCTTAAGAGCAGGTTGCCCTTGTGGTCCCTTATTGGCCCTATGAAGCAGCATTTATTATGCTCAAATAAAGCAAGCTCCTTGGAGGTGCCTGTGAGGCAGAGAGTCTAGACCCCAGTAGAAACCTGGTTGTTCTGCCCCTGATCCCACAGCCTCTGCTTTCATAGTAGAAAGTTGAGAGAGCACAGAAAACATTGGTAAAGCAACTATTTTTAGAGGAGAGGTTTTTTGATGGAGTGAGAGTTTAATTAAGAACTGCAGGAATGCTATAAAGGGCACTAGCAAGGTCAACGGGTCTTCAATAGGATGCATGCAGCGCAGCACTTGAGACCATTTATCCCTATGGGAAGAAATCTCTCTTCAGTAGAAGGACAGGATCATTTTTAGTAAGGAAGCTGCTTACTTAAAAGCTTTCTGTGGGCTACAGAACCCATGCTTCAAGTACAGTGTTAAACTGGTGTTGTGATGTGATGAAGTTAGAAGTAGAACAATCTCCATCAATATGCGAATGTTTAAATGCTTTTTCTGTCTGCAGTGTGTAGCCCACACACTCAATAGCATGTTACAGGGCAGGTTATGTACAAGGGATAGCTGAGGAATGCCAAAAAAGTTATGATGCAGAAGATGTCCTCACTGAATATGAAGGGCTGTGCAGCTGGGGGTCCCGACATTTGCTCATTAAAGACATAGTTAGTGGAAGTTTTCAGAAGAAAGGGGTAATGTCCTTCCATTTCTAGCCAAACTTAGTGAAGACCTTCTACTTTCCCAAGACCATGCTGTGCTGCTGCGTTAATATGACCCTTAGGAGAAGACGACTGTGTTGGCTCCTTATTTACAAGGCCATGTGCAACCAAGGCGAGGGGTGATATTTTTAAACCCTAGGTAACATAAAATCTGCCTTTTTACAGCTGCTACCCCGTGCTAAACAGACTAGGTCTTCAGAAATCAAGAGAACAGTAATAATTCCTCATAATGGAGGCATGTTATATGTCAGGGGCAAAAGTGAGGCACTGCAGCCTCCATCTTTATGTCCTGGGGAGGGAACAACGGGCCTTTGTGTTTCCCTATGTGTTTAGGGCAGGGTGGAGAATGCTACTTGGGGCGAGTCTTTCTCGAAGGGGAGGAAAAGGAACTGGTGACTGAACCAATAGCCCTTTGGGAAAACAGCGTCGAATGCTCTCTCCTGGCTGTCATTATCAATAGTAAGTCTGTGTTTGAGCCAGGGTCAGGGTTCAGGGTAAACAGGGATCACAGGACACCTGTGAAAACAGAGGGAGGCTGCAGCCGGGGAAGAGACTGCCCCTGCGAGGCAGCAACATTTACCAAACAAAGAGGGCATTAGAGCAGGGTCCTGCACTGCTTTCAGAGTGACACCCAAGTGTTTGGGATAAAGCCCGGATGCCATTATTGCAGTCAAAGGCTGAGCTTGCACCAGGTCTCTGCTTTGTCCAGGGCATTTCCCCTCCTGAGCCTTTTCCTATAAGCTTCTCGCTTCTAATCTCGCCCACCTGTTAGGTTATCAATCATCTGTTTTTCTTGCCAAGGCCCAGATTTGTATTCCTCACTTTCCTCATCTCTTTGCTCTTTAAAACTAGCCTCCTGTTAAGTAAAGGGCTCCTCTGCCTACACCAAGGTGTTTAGTCCTAATCCTAACGCAATGATCCAGCGGGATCGTTTTCTGTTTTCTAGCTTGGCACCTGTTTTGATGCATTACATTAGGGCTGCTCAGAAATCAGTTTTGGAGGAAACGTGATTGTTTAGAGTCAAGAGCAGCAGAACTGACCCCATCTTATCCCCCCTCTCCCCCTTTTCAATGAGCGATTAAAAGACCGGCTTAGCTTTCACCTGCCACAGGGTAAGAGCATGCACATAGACAGTTAGTACAGAGCAGCTGAGGCATGGGAAGTCCTCACCTCCTCTGCAATGGCTGTAATTTGTTTGATGCCCTAAATCAGCAGTCCCTAATCTCTTTCAATGGCAAACCCACTTGGGGTCTGAGCCTGTCTGCTATTCTTGAATTCCTGTGGAACTCATGACTTCATGCATTAAATGTCATAATTCCTTCTGGGGTCATGGGCCCTGATTTGCAAACCACTGCCTTACTTTCAGACCATCTGAAAATACTGGGTAAATCTCGATCTCTCTTGCACCAGGTACAAGATATGCCAGGGGTCATCATACCAGTGGATAAAAGAGCTTATGGCTGAAAAAACTTTTCCATATAAAGCTTCAGAGCCTGGATCCTATAGTCCTTGCTGAACTGAGGAATCATTCCTTACCTGGCCAATCCTGTGGATATTGCTGAAATGACAATGAATAAGTAGGTATTGTTGGCTCTTTAGCATGTTTAAAATACCTCTCTTTAATAATCTCAAGTGCTACTTATAGTAATGGTGATATTTAAAATGCACCATTAGTGTGTGAGGTCCTGGGAAAGTGCCAGACTCTTTCCAAAAGAAAGCACAACTCAGCCCTTACCACCCAGAGTAGCACATGATCTAAATGAGATCAACTCAACAATCAGGGGAAGATAAGAGGAAGGTAGAGACTGAGAAGCATATGACAGAGGATACAAACAGACATTGCTAAATTAATTCCTCTACCCTGGAGTTCAAGGAGCAAGCAGGATCAGGCTGCTGAAACTCTGGGAGTGTCTGCCCCGGGGTAGCTTGAGAGTACAGGTAGCTCTGGGCTACCCACGCTCTTCCGCCTTAATACACATGGATGTCCGTTGCAAAATAGTGGCATAAATGAATACTGCTTCTTGTCGTGGACATGGATTTGGGTTTTTGTGGCGTGACAAAGGGCATGGAAGTCTGCTTGCTTCCACTTTTTTCCTGCCATAAAAAGTTTTATTTCCTCTGCAATCAAAGTTCCTTCTTGAAAGATCTGTTCATAAAATAGTAGGGCTGGAAGGAGACCTCAGGCAGCAACCCCCTGCTCAAGGCAGCATCGGGCTGTCTAAATCACACTAGACATCTAACTTATTTTTAGGCAGAAAAGGTTCTTTGGGTAAATGTGATATCTTTTATTAGTCCAACTTAATAGGTGGGAAAATTGTTCTTTGCAAGCTTTCAGGGACAGAGACACCCTTCTTCTGGCAATGCTTTGCTGCTGGTGTTTTGTGTGCTCTCCTGGGTGGAATAGAAGCCAATACACAAAATGCAGGTCTGCAAATGCAGATGCGTGGCAGTGAAGATCCATAACCTATTCTTAAACACTTCGTGAACAACCCACTTGCAAAACCACCATGCAAAATGTTGAAAATGTCAAATGTTGTTACAGGTAAATCAGGGAGAGCAAAGCACCCTGTTCAAGTTTGCTGATGACACTAAGATGTTGGGGGGTGTGGGCACAATAGAGGGGAGCAACAGGCTACAGTTGGACCTAGACAGGTTACAAGGGTGGGTGGATGAGAATAGGATGG